AGATGTGTCTTCTCTTTGCTTGAATAGGAGAAAGAAAATGGGATACACAATTTTACGTTTCAGAGGCTTCAAAGAAGGGCATTCACCAACAGACGCTGAGCACACCCATTTTAATAGCTGATCAGCACCACAATCACAGCAACATGTCAGAGAGAGTCTCTTTTCAGAAACACATTAGTCAAGTTGTTATTCACATCATTTATTTGGTTAAGAGATTTTCTGCTTCGATCAACTTAATTTTCCTCTGAGATAAAAAAAAAACCCCTCATCATCCTGATGATATTTATTAAGTGGAGACTACAAGGAATATTAGAAGCTGCTTTGTCTTGTTAGAAATGAAGATTTTAAATATAAAGACAAATAGAACATTTGTTGTTTTTTTTTTTGTTTTTTTGAAAAATTGTTTTTGTCTCCCAAGATAATATTACACAAAAGGCTCTGAATGGATTCCTATTGCATTGCTTTAAAATTAGGTGAATCACTGACATCTGTCATCAATGCAATGCAAATTTTTGACAGTCTGAATGTCAAAACGTATTTCCATATTTTCCCCATTATGATTATTGATGCTAGAATGTTGAAATATATACATATAAAAATAGCTAAACAAAGTAAAAAGCTTAAGTCCATAAACCAGGGGTTATAGTTTACTTTGTGCTTAAATTAAACACATTAAAACTGTAAGATACTCTAAACAGTTTTTTTCAAATACATAAAATGTAGAAAAATAAATCAGAAAGGTAATATATTCGCAGAGTACATTTAAAACAAATACCTAGACATATATCTTATGTCACCATCAAATGTAAACATACAAATATAAACCAGAATTTCCATTTTATTATTATTAGCTATGTTTTAGATGTTTTCATATTTTTGTATCAGACATCTAGATTTTGTCTAAACTAAATGTCACTGGAGCACATTACATGAAGTATGCCAGTGAGAATGCATTTGTGCAAACATTGGTGATTAAAAATATAAAGAAGCTCCAACAGTTTTCATGTGCCATCATGACAAACTGAGTCTAAAAATGAAGAAAAAAAAAAGCCTTTTTCAATTAAATTATTGAAATGACTGTTTTTGGGATTTGCCAAAACGAAAATGAGAACTCACATTATTCAAATACTCACATTTCTTCTTGCCGCCTGAAGGAAAGAAATCTTCTTACTGCACAATTTGCCAAATTAGGCCTCAGTGGATTTATGCCACAAGTTTAAAGTTTGATATGAAGTCAAAGTAAAGCGCCGCATCTTATTATCAACGTCAAAATATAAATTTAGCCAGTCTCTTATAAAATACCAAATGAAGGAAGCTCTTGGGAAGTTATTTGTCATGGTAAAGAAATTCCCACTAGATAGAGTCCATAAGTATGTTTTATTAATTGCATCTTTAAGTAAACGACTGTAGAACTGAAAAAGGATATATACTGTAGACTCAAACTTGTGGCTTTGACTTTTGGCTTTGAGGTTTCTAGTAGATTTACTTCGATCCAAGCTCACATACATTTGTGGAGAAAACACCCTTAATAAGAAATGATGACGCACTGGTAATTGGAACTGAATTAATTCATATTTTATACAGTCTTATTCAAACTAACTTTTTACCATAAATTCAATCCAAAATCTTTCTGAATGATGGATTCTCCATCTTGTTTTAATCACACATTTAATGAAACTGCATCATTGCCACATTTAGGATTTATTTACAATTAAGCAAACTAATTACATGGAATCGAGAATGTAATTATGCTCATTATGAATTACATTAAGGATTATTTCCCCTTAAAAACCCAAAAAAGAAAACATTGAAAAATATTTTTTTCAATTTACACTGGAAGTTTATTTGTAAATTGTTCAAAAATATTTGCTAGTAATAGTTTATTATTTTATTAAAAATCAGACACTAACTGTCTGGTAAGCCTAAAATTGAAGGATAAAGCACCTCCTTTTCTGAACCACCTGGCAGGTTAATTTTAAAGTACCTGAAAATGACCTTAGCGTAAGAAGCAGAGCGGCTCACTGGGGTCCAGATCTTCTTATGTCACCTTTCGATGAACCAGCCTAAAAGTTCCTCTACGGCAGGAGGGAGAAGATGGTTTGTCTGGCTCTGGGTCATTACAAGTTTCTGTTATTTCCCACTTTAGATCAGTCTGGAACCTGAGCAAAAGAGGTGTAGAGAACAAATAAAAAACTTCATGTAAAACTTTCATGAATGTAGCAAAGAAAAATGAAACAAAAGTAAGTCTGGCAAATTGAACAGGCTTGGTTTTGACTAAGCTAAACTAAAGAGTTTTGCTGGTTTTGTGGTTCTGTTTCTCTATGTGTGTCTCCAAACAGCTGAAGGTTTCAGGTAGAAGGGAAACGTTGTGAGGCTACATTGTACCAGTCATTCAGAAGGAAAAACTGACTACCATTTAGAACAAGCAGGAGCTTTT